AAAAAAAAAAAAAAACAAAAAAAAACAGAGCGATAATACAGTATTTATATATGTGTTGTCCAATTTATTTCAGTTAAAAAAATAAATTTTAAAAGCCAAAAAAAAAAAAAAAGAGAAAAAAGTAGTTGCTTCTATAATTCATTCATCCAAGTTGTCGGAATGCCTCTCTACCTCCCACGCAAATCTAGTACTATATCCACAAATCTTAAGAGTTTTAAAATAGTTCCAAAATTCAATTTTCCCTCACTTCAATTGATACCATTCTGGCCCAAGCCACTATCTCTAGGTTATTGTCATAATTTTCTGGTACCACTTTTCACTAAATAATATTATAACCACGAAAGGGGTTTGATTCTGTTTGTTTGATAAACCCAGCAACTTCAAAAGACCAAATGGTGGGAGAAGAAAAAGCTTTATTCAGTGGCCAATGAATGGAAAAGCAAGCCTGTCCCTTGCTTGCAAGTCAGCTTTTTAACTTTAGAGTTGAGAAATTACAGACAGTATTAGAATAATAAGAGAGAGATGGACTAAAAAGGGGAAAGAATATATATTTTATAGGAATAAGCAAAGATCTTCCTTCTTTTTATAATCTGGTATTTTGGGTCATGGTGGTTGGTTGGTATCATTGGCCCAAAGGTTAAGGCTGCAAAGGAGACAGACAAAATATGAAGACAAAAGTGTCAAACCTTTTCATCTTTCTCCAATCACCCTAATGGACATCTCAGACCCAAGGGAAAAGTCAATATTTGCAGCAAAAGCAGTCTTCCAGTCCCTGAAAAGTACCTAGGCAACTATTACCATCATAACCCTCCAGAAGTGCCACCTAAAGCAAAGCTAGTAGGAGACTAATAATGTATTGCTCAGCTATGGGACGTCCAAACTGGGTAATTTTTAAGTCAACTAAAAACAAGTAAAACTAGAGGCTTTATTTAAATTTTTCTTGGATAACAATACAATTTTATTTTCATCTGGCTCCATGTACTCTCTTAGAGACAGAAAACTTTCGTCTCTTATTTAAGGTAAACCTCAGAGCAACCATGTTGCTTCACGAATACTTAAATGAATACATAAATATTTTTACATGTTAATTAGCTGGTATTTTAAACTTTAAACAGTAATTTTTTTTTTTTTTTTTGAGACAGGGTTTCTCTATGCAGTTCAGCCTGGCCTTGAACTCACTTTGTAGCCCAGGCTGGTCTTGAACTCACAGCAATCCTCCTACCTCAGCCTCCCGAGTGCTGAGATTACAGGTGTGCACCACCATGTCTAGCCCAATAACCCCTTTACATATTTTGTTAATTAGATCATTCAGACTATCAGTGACACAACCCAGGCTTACCATAA